CCAACATCCGCAACTAGAGCACAGTAGCACCTGTTGCTCCTCTGAGTTTAGATGCACCCCTGATGCCACACCCCTTGAGCCAAACCCATTGCTCCTCTTAGTTTAGATCCACCCCTTAAGCCACACCCCTCGAGCCATGCCCATTGTTCCTTTTAGTTAGATGCACCCTTAAGCCACACCCTCGGGCCATGCCATTGCTCCTCTGAGTTTAGATGCACCCCTGATGCCACACCCTTGAGCCAAACCCATTGCTTCTCTGAGTTTAGATGCACCCTTAAGCCACACCCTCGGGCCATGCCCATTGCTCCTCTGAGTTTAGATGCACCCCTGATGCCACACCCCTTGAGCCATACCCATTGCTCCTCTTAGTTTAGAACTACCCTTTAAACCATACCTCATATGCCACACCCATTGTTCTTTCAGTTTAGATCCACCCCTTAAGCCACACCCCTTGAGCCATACCCATTGCTCCCTTTAGTTTAGACCTACCCTATTATTTAATTTGATGCTACATAGTTCTTAGTGAAGTCCCTATAACAGTAGGAGTATGAGACAGTATTTTTCAATGTTAAACATAAAAAAATAACACCAAATTGCTGATACTACTGCTACTGAGAGTTGATTTTATTAAGGGATTATATGCCAAGCACTCTATTAAGTCTTTTACGTGTATTATTTAATTTTCCCAATGGTCCAGTGTGTCACATATTACTGAGGTTCACAGAGATTAAACAACTCGTCCCGAGATCACACAGCTAGTAAATTTCAAAGCCAGCATTCTGTCCCAGGGTTGTCTAACTGGTGTGCAAGTAACTTTTTTTTTTTTTTGAAAGAGAAAGAAGAATGCACAAATGTATGCAAGCGGGAGAGAGACACAGAGAGAATCCTAGGCAAGCTTCACATTTAGTACAGAGCAGGACAATCAATCTCACAACCCTGAGATTGTGACCTGAAATGCAATCAAGGGTTGGACACTTAATTCACTGAGCCACCTGGGTGCTCCTGTGCAAGGATTATCTATGCAATCTGCTCTAAGGATCCCAGAAGGGCTTGATAAATTTTCTCCTAGTTCGCATTTGAATGAGAATGCAAACATAATAGCGGTAGCTAACTGTGGGGAAAGTCCTCACCAAAGTATCATGTGCAAGCTCTAAGGAGTCTCCAGTGATTCCCATCTTTGGTATTCATACCCTTGTGTAACACCTGCCACCCCTTGAATATGGTCTGGAACTACTGACTCATTTCTAATGGATAGAATATGGCAAAGGTGATGGGATGTCACTTCTGAGGTTAGTTTACAAAGAACTGGTTTCCATCTTGGGCCTGCTCACTCTTACTCCCTCATCTGCTCTGAGGGAAGCCAGGTGCTTATTGTGAGCTGTATTATGGAGAAGCCCATGTAGCAAGGAACAAATGTCTCTTGCCTTCTTCTTCTTGTTCTTTTTTTTTTTTTAAAGATTTACTCATTATGCATGAAAGATACAGAGAGACAGAGACATAGGCAGAGGGAGAAGCAGGGTCCCTGCAGGGAGCCTAATGTGGGACTTGATCCCAGGACCCAGGGATCATGCCCTGAGCCAGAGGCAGACACTCAACTGCTGAACCACCCAGGTGTCCCCAAATGTCGCTTGCTTATAGTCATGGAGGACCTCTGGCTGCTAAACAGTCATCTAAGTGACCTCAAAAGCAGATTTCCCCCACACAAGCCTGGAGATGACTAAAGATTCAGCTGCCATCTTGACTGCACCACTGTGAGATCTCCTGAGCTAGACACACGTGGCTAGTTGCACCAGGATGGCAGGCCCAGAGAAACTAACCAGGTTGTAATGTTGTTCAGTTTGCAGAAAGCATTCGAGAAAACAAAAGTGTAAAGCCAAACTTTTGGCCTCTGACCTGCCCCCTCTCCTTGGGTTGAAATTCCAGGGAAATCAAGAGATGGTAGGAACTACTGACAGGTTAGGATAAAAAAAATATTAGAAAGGGGACCTCTGTTCTGTTCACCACTTATCTCTCTGAGAAGACATTACCTCGCTTGACTTTCGCATGCCAATTAGTGGCAAATGCAGGAGGACACAATTGGCAGTATGCCAGGAAGCAGCTGTGAGGGCTAGATGCAGCACCCCAGAGTCTCCTAGAAGCCAGAGAAAGATCCCAGAGGCTCCCTGGTGCCCCCAGAAAAGACATGGAAATTAGATTGAGAGCCTGGGACCTGATCATGGGACTTCTGAGGTAGAGGGGAGATGGCCCATGGAAGGGACACTGCCTGGAGCTCTTCTTGGACCAGCTGCCCCCTGCCTGTTTTGGGAGACTGAGGATTTAATGAGGGACTGAATTAGTGTCTAAGAGATGATTTTTTTAAAAAAGATAAAACATTTATTTTTCTGCTGGTGTTACAGGATTTTTTTCCTTCAGTGCCTGCGGTTCTTGGTCCTGTTGCTTCAAAGAATGTAGAAGTAGACCAGACCAAGAATGGTGGGCAGCACAGCAAAGTTTATTGAGTGATAGTAAAGTTTATTGATAGTACAAAGCTCCCAAAAAAGTGAGGGGACCCAAGAGGGTTGCCTAAGAGATGATGTTCTAATGCTTGGTGGGTTTAAGTTTATTTAAATCTTTGACATTCTTCTCCCTGTTCCCAGTACCACCATTGGTGGGAATGGGGTCTTCAAAGCAAGATGAGAACATCTTTAACAACCTGTAATGTGTAATTATCAACCCACTCCAGCCACTGCTACCAGCTTGGCAGCCCCAATACTTTGACAAGACACAGGGGCAAGTGACCCCTAAAGCTTCTTTGCCCTATTTCTGGTTGCTGCCTTGACTCAGATGGGAAATTTAAGTGATTAAGTGGAGGAGCAAGTGGACAGCCATAAACAGTGAGAGTGAGAGGTGTGGAAAGAGTAGCAGAGATATGGAAATGGCCAGACTCATGTGCATGATTGAAGATGGCCTGGTGAAAGAGGGGAGAGGCCTTTCCTTACTCATCTTCGGTGAAAAGGAGCCTAATCTTAAATGATGCTTCTTTCTCTTCCTCTAAAATCAACTACCCTTGATTGACGGTACTTATATATGCCTCATCCTTTTTCTGTGGTTACACTGTATTTTCCTCTTTCTTGGAAACTTAGCTTGAGTTATAGGGCTGCCATATATGGCTGCACAGATTGTGCACTGTCAAAATCCAGGGAGTACCATTTATAACCTATCAGATGATTTGACAAGTCATCTCCCAGAAATTTTTTCACATCGTTACCTCTGGATTCTCATTATTCCCATTAATAAATATTTGATGATTAAGTGACAAGTGTTGTTCTAGGTTCTGAGGATTTAGCAAAGAACAAAATAGAGTCTCTGCCCTTAGCACTGGTACAGGAAGAGACAGACAACCACATGAACAAATAAAGTAAGTTTAGGTGTTATAAATAAGTTGCATATGTGGGGGTGAGGTAAAATGTTTGGGAGAAAGATTCTTATACCCTTAAATAACACATAGGACCACAGTTTATAAGCAATAGATATTCTATACCTAGCCATTTTTCCTCTTTTTCCTTTTGAAGCTTAACATAGTAGGTCATAAGTTGTATGTGTAACAGTGGATATTTAACACAAGGTAATAGAGTTAATTTTTCTTAATAGAGTTAATTTTTTAAAAAGATTTTATTTTAGAAAAAGGGAGTGCATGCACGAGCAGGGGGAGGGGTAGAGGGGAAGGGAGAGGGACAAGCAGACTCCATATAGAGCTCAGAGCCTGACACAGGGCTCCATTCCAGGACCCTGAAATCATGACCTGAGCTGAAACCCAGAGTCAGATGCTCAACCAAGTGTCACCCAGGTGCAACTAGAGTTAATTTCTTTTTAGATTTTGTGTTTGTTATGAAATGTTAAAAGAATATTAATTCCTTAATACACTGAGTGTGAATGGTTTAAGAATTATTATTACATCACATTTACACAATTAAGAATGCTTATGTGGGTATGATGGCGGCAGAGACAGATTTTACAAATTTAGTACATTTCTGACATTTGTGAGGTGTATTTTCCCAAGACTGGGAGAGCTCTCAACATCACAAACCGCAGCAGGGCACCTAATTTTCCCACAAAACACAGTGAAATAGAACTAAAGTATTTAAAGATCTTTTGTATTCTTAATGGTTCCTTATAAATAGGACTAAGGAAGTTTGTAGGGTTATTTTCTGGCTTAGAACCTTCATTTACTTAGACTTCTTCACTTTCATTACCAGAACTAGTTGTTGATTTCCTTTTAAAAGAAAAAAAATTGTAATAGTCTTCAAAAAATAGTAATAAGTTTAAAAATAATCATAAAAATCATTGCATTCTGGATGATGAGTAGAAAAATAGCAAAAACATTAACAGGTTGGTTTGTGAGGTTGGCAAATGCTTGGAATAGGGACCCATTTGACATATTAGCCTCAGAGGACTTATGATTTAAATGAAGGCTCTGATAAGAAATCACTATGAATCTTCAACCATTAGGTTACTGAATAATACTAAAACTGAGAATGCAAAATCCACAGGTCTTTGATATTATATTACAGATAGCAGGAAAGCAAAATACAATTACCTGCTCATCCTTTTATTGTTATATGTGAAATCATTGTGATAAGTGATATAGAATTTTCTAAATTGGATATTGTATGAGAAACTGCTCTGGAGCATCATAAGTGAGATGTTTAGCCTTTTACCATATAACAGCTACTTGGTTGGTTCCTAATTTGTCCACAAATTCATAAATGCTCTGAAACTCTGATTCTTTCTCACTAATGAGGGTTGGTAACTCCAACCTCCAAGGACAGAGTTGAGGATAAACTGAGCCAGGGTTATGAGAAGTCTTCAGAAACATGAAAGTAACCCACCAAAATCAAGGTGTTCTCATTCAATCAGGTATTGTTGGCTTCAAGTTTCCAGTTCTGCTCCTTGAGCAGAATAAAAACACATGGGAAGCTTCAGTTAGCTGAAATGGACCTTGTATAGAGGGTTTAACTTACTTCTTTTACAAACCACTGACAAAAGGCAGGACCAATCCATTCTCTTGCGTGAATACCACAGTCTATCCAGACAGCTCTTTTGTAAGTCCGTGATCTTCTGCCCAGCTAAAAACAAGAGTATTCAGAGTAACCAACTCAGGCTTTTACTTTTAGATTTCACTGATTAGCATAATTTAATAAGATTTTAGTGTAGTCCTTCACTATAGTTTGATTCATTAGATAACCCACAAAGAAGATGGATTTCCTGTCTATTTCAGAAATCCAGGCCTGTTTATGCAGAAATAAGTTATTGCCTTAATTACAAAACAAATAACTGGAAAATAGACAAAAAAGGAAATTCATTAAATAGATTTACTTCTTTTTAAAAAAGATTTTATTTATTTATTTATTTATTTATTTATTTATTTATTTATTTATTATGAGGGAGGGAGGGAGGGAGGGAGGGAGGGAGGGAGGGAGGGAGGATGCATGTGTGAGCAGGAAGAAAGGCAGGAGAGAGGAAGAGAGAGAATCCCAAGCAGACTCCACACTGAGTGCAGAGTGTGATGTGGGCTTGATCTCATGACCTTGAGATCATGACCTAAGCTGAGTTCAAGAGCCAGACACTAAACTGGCTGAGCTATTCAGGTGGCCCAAGTTTGCTTCTCCTTTAATATATATGATTGTTAAGTAAAATGTTAAATTCCCCTTTCTCCCAACCCCTCCTCCAAGAGAATACGATTCATAATCCAAAGAAATATCCTTAAAGTAATTAGTATTTTTTAATTAAAAAAATTTTTTTAAGATTTTTATTATTTGAGAGAGAACAAACATGAGCAGGGGGAAGGGCAGAGGGAGAGGGACAAGCAGACACTCCACTGAGCAGCGAGCCTAATGCAGGGGGTCCCAGGACCCTGGAATCATGACCTGAGCTGAAGGCAGATACTTAACCAATTGAGCCACCCAGGTACCCCAGCAATAATTCTGTTTTATAGGTGGACAATGTCAAACTTTATTACAACACAAAGTGGAAAAGCAAAACAAATTGATTTGTAGAGTCAGGTGACAGATTTTTAAAAATAATCTTATTATATCAATATTACATAAATGTGGTTTCTAACTCAGTAACAAAGAGGTAGCTATTAACATTTTATTCATAGGGGACCTTGTTTTCATTCATTACTTCACTAATACTTCAAGAAATTCTTTTTGGACATTGTGCTTGGTACTGGAGATTCAAAGATGAAAAGTCAAGGAGTTTATATGCTAGTCAGGAGGGCAGATATGGGAGCAATCAGTCATTATGAGGTGAGCATGCATAAGTTGCTTAGGGAACATGGAGTGTTAAGTCTAATTTTCCCAGGGAATAAAAGAAAGCTTTTCAGGGGAGGAACCTTGAATATTTGGGTAAAACTTGAAGCTTGGCCAGCAGACAAGTTGGAAGAAGGCATTTCAAGCTTGGAAGAGAATCTGGGAACACTGTCTTTGAAGAACTGCTTTTGGGGGATGAGGAAGAAATGGCAGATGAAGCTGGGCACTGAGGAAGAGAATATGTGAAATCCCTGGATCTTAGATAAAAGAGATAAGGCTTCATCCTGTATTTCATGGGAAAGGAGTGTATATGTGAGAAAGAAAGAGGCATGAGCACAAGTTCACACTGACAGTGTGATGAGACCGTTATTGCAATAGTCCATGGAGAAGAGATCCAGAGATTAGTTAGGGCAACAGCAGGGAAGACAAGAGAAGGAATTGGAGCAGATTCAAAAGATATTTAGAGGAAATAATTGTCAGTTCTTGGTGGTAGATTTAAAGGAAGTGGTAAAAATTAAGGAGATACAGAATGACGCTCATGTTTCTTGACTGCAATCACAGTGGTGCCATTATGAGTCTGAGGTGCTTTTGTGAAAATTGAGATGAGAAGTTCAAGTAGGGAATGATATATGAATGTGAAGCTCCAGAGAGTAGGCCTCAACTAAATAGAAAAGTCTGGAATGACTGTTGAGACCATGGGGTGGATGTGTCCTTCTAGAGAGGGAAAGCATAGAGTCTGAGCACAAAGTCTTGGGAAGACCAGAACCCATAGGAAGGGCAGGGAGATAAGAGGAAATGAATGAGACTGGAGGGTATAGTCAGAAAGACAAGAGGAGAACCAACCAGGAGTCATTGTTGGTCTGGGCAAGAGAAGTTTTAGAGGAGCTGTGTGGGCAAAGGCCAGTGAGTCAAGGTCTGAATAGGAAATAAAGAAGTGATATAGGGAAATCTTTATTGGCTGAGAAGGGATAGAGAGCCCTGGATCAGTATCTAGAAGAGAATGCAGGGCCAATGGCTGGAAAGGATGCATCTCTTCTTAGATATTTGTGTAGTTTTGCATTGGTTTACCTTAAGTAGCACCAGCTCACAAATAATTTTGAAGGTCTTTATTTTTAAATGCATAAATAACTTTGAGTATGTTAGAAACAGCATTCTCTTGAACACTCAATGGCAAAAATTAAATATGGCCCAAAAATCTACGGGAAATTTTTTTCTTAAATTATCAGATAAATTAGAGATTCTGTGAAAGATCATTTCATTTCTTTTCCCTGTAAGTCAAACTTGAAAAAATGTTTACTAAATATCTTGTTAATAATGTTTTTACCTTTAAAACAAAAAGAGGCCTTCCCTCATATGATCTTCCAATAGAGAACATGTGAATGAGGCCTGAATGAGTTTTATTTAGATGATGCATCCAGTTTTGAATCTAAAAGCAAATAAATAACAAACCATGTCAGACTTTCCCAATTATGGAGCTTTCAGAGAACAAAAGGTAACAAAAGGCAACAATAGGTCTCAGAGCTCAAAGAGCAAGCATGACTATAAAACTGAACAAAAATTAGTTTTAAAAAATTCCCTTGAGATACTTAAAATTATATTTTATTGACAGTCTTCACAAATAGTAGCTTCATGTCTTTATATTATTCCCTTTTTAATGCATACATTCCACTACTTTTTAATCATTAGTATTTTGAAGGCAGAGCTTTATAGAAAATTAGTCAATGTTTTCTGGGTTTGTTTTGAAAATAAAAATTATTTCCCCCCAAACATTTAAGAGGAAAAGAAATAAATCAGCTTCATGGAAACCATTCAAATTACTTGAAAGGGTTTGTTAAAGTCCCACATCTTGTAATTTGCCACTGAACAGAAGATACTAAGAAAAAGGCATTGTCTTCTGCATTTAAAGGTTATTCAAGCCACACATCAGAGGGCATACTCTGAATAATTTCCCCAATAACAGTGAGAGATTTGCATTGATCCAGTCATACACATTTATCTGTCATCAGGAGAAGGTACATTTGAGATAGATGAATAAGGCACTTAGAAATATGGATGACATTTCTGACTTAAAAGGCTCACGAGGAGTAAGGAAGTCACACAAAAGTGTTCCTCTATTCCATGATGTGCAAGAGAGTCTGTGCTAAAAAAATAGATTTTGAGAAGTACTCATTCTTTCTTTTCTATTCTTAATCTAATGAGCAGCATATATATGTATATATGTGTATATATATCTTATGTGTGTATATGTATTCATGTATATGTATGTACATATCTATATAGATATATTTAAATTTTTTCTAATTTAATTTTTTCTAGTGCATTTTATAGTACTCTCATGTGCCAAGCTATCTAAAATCTTCCCATTGCTTCTAATTTCAAGCTTCTAAAACATATGTTGGAACATGAAATATATGAAAATAATTTTGAAAAAAGTTATTATCAAGAGAACCAAATATTCTCCTAAGAATATAACAGAATCTCATTATTACTATGCCTGATACTCCTTTGCTCAATTCAGGGGAGGCATGGAAAATGTATGAACTTATTCATTCTGTCATCAACTATCTATTTGGAGGTCTCTATTTGCCTTGCCACTGGGGATATAGTAGCGAACAAGAAAAAAAAGGCCTGTCCTCATGGAACATTGTAGCTTATGAGGAGAGAAAGGCATTAATTAAATAATCCTACAATTACATACATGAAAACTATGATAGATATCATATCCGTGTGCTGTGGGTGCATGCAATATGCTGGGGTTGGAGGTGGGGAGTTCTATTCCCATCTGTGAGAGTAGAAACAGCCTTTTTTTTTTTTCTTGAGCTGAGATTCCAAGAGTAACTAGCTAATGTCCAGGTGACCAGTAAAGGATGTGGTGGTGGGAATGAGGTTGTTGTAGAATAAATAATCAGAAGAATAAATAACAACATGTTAAAAGGCTTTTAGTCTCCACAAATGATTCTTGGTCTTTGAGAGGTTTCAACTTGTGCAGAGGCTATGGGGCAAGAATCAACATTCACTCCACTTCTTATCCAAATCATTGCCCTCAAACTCTCACTAGATCTACCTTCCAAGTCTTTTTAGTTAAGGTTTTTTGCAACTGCAATTATGGCAACATTACCTCACTTTTCCAATGCACTTTCCAAGTCCTTTTTAGGAGTGGGTTGGGCAAAGCAAATGAAATTCAAATTATTTGCTACTTATAAAGGTTTAATGGAAGAGTTAAAGAACTAAGGTGTCTGGGGAATATAAGAGCTTTATGCATTCTCCATATGGCCCCTGCCTCTGTCTTTACTCTTTTCTCCCAACCATTAGACCTAAATGATAAAGATGCATTTATTAAAAACAAAACAAAACAATGAAAGCTCCTCTGATTACATACTTCTTCTAAAGAGTGATAAACTTCATAATTATATCCAGAGAGGTATCTTCGATTTCTCTGGGTTCGCAAACTGCTTGCCTTTTCCAATGTGTTCTGAAGATCTTCTATGAGGATCCTGGATTTGAAATGATAGACATGATAAAAATTGAAGATTATATAAAATTGGAGATTATATAAAAATCAGACAGCTTGAAAAGAAAATTATGCATCTATGAAAAAGAGGATAGCAAATATTGATATTTCAAAAAATACCAAATGTTGGAAAAATGTTCTCTTTTTGGAAATAGAAACTGTTAAATTGGATAATGAATATAAAATGTAAAATTATTTGCGGATGTTCTCAAATACTACTACTACCATGGATTGAACAGCTATAAGAACTGAATAATGGGTATGAGCATTTACATTTATTATCTACTTAGGAACCATGCTATGTATTTTATGTACACGAGTTTAGTTAATAACCCTATGGGGTAGATTTTTTTACTTCCATTTTACAAACAGGGAAAATGAGCCTCAAAAGGGTTAAGAGCTTGCCAATATCATTCTGCTAGTGAGTACAGAGCCAGAATTTGAACTTGGAATGTGAACCTGAATTCTAGTCTTTATACTTTAAGTCTGATGCGACATTATGAACACCAAAACAAGACAACACAAAAATAAACGTTTTCAAAGATTTAAAAAAAATGTTTAAATGTTTACAAAATTGAGCTGTGGTATATCGCTTTTACATTATTTCCAAAGTGGACAGACCTTCTAAATATAAACAAGTACAACTTGTTTCCCCTCAAGGAAGAACAATTCCTCACATTTATCACCAGAAAGTTATGAAGCTCTGAGGCAGACACATCTGTTTGGCAGCTATTGTTCCCTTTAGAAAGGCAATATTTTCCCAGGAGGCTCAGTACAAAAAAACTATCCCTCTTAATTGATTAGATTCTTTATCATTTATCATTTTCAACAAATAAATGACCTAACATATTACCAATAACATCATGAATTTAGAGAATTGTCAAAATAATTCTAATGGAGAATTGCCCCTACAAAAGACTTAGCTTATTTTCTAGTCAAGTTTGCTAGTGTTTTCACCAAAGTAGGAAAATTATAAAGTTTTTCAGTTTGAGGTTGTATGGAATCATTCTAGTTGGATATTAGCTCCTTTGATGAATAAAAGTCATCTTTTAAAGTCTCCAAGTGCCCTAAATTGAGCTTGTTTTTGAATTCCTGGGTATTTGCACATCCATCCAGGACAGTGATTCTTAAGCTGCATTGCTTTAAAGTCACCTGTGAACTTTAAAAAAAAAAAAATATGCCACACTTGGATACCTGATTGGCTTAGTTGAAAGACTGCACCATTCTTGATCTCGTGAGCTGAAGCCCCATGTTGTGTGTGGAGTTTACTTAAAATTAAATAAACAAACTTAAAAAAATATGCTACATTGGGCACTACATAGACAAGAATATCTGTGAATAGGTATCAGTCCTTTTTAAAAGCTTACCAAGTTATTTTAACATACTGTCAGGATCAAATTTAGGCTAACAATCTGGAAGCCAGTAATTTTGGTTAATTAAATCTGGAAACTCCTGGTATCAGTCCTCGGAGGTTCCATATTAAATACAATGAAGAGGATAGTAGAATATGGCTGACCTTTTTTTCCTTTCTCCTCTTGAGTGTCTGTGCTAGATACGGTCAACCACCTACTCTCCCTATGGACTTCCTTATACTCCAGGGGCTGGGAAACTGAAACTTCTTTCCTTGACTCTCTTGCAGCCTTGATTCTGGGTATATATTTGTGAATGCTGGTAAGATAGGAAGTTAAGAATGAGGCAGAGGCTATCTCCTACTGTTGCTGTGGCCATGTCGAAATTACAGAGACATGACTGTTTAGAGGCAATCAGGGTTGCTTTACAGTTTGAGAGGCAGTTATGGTAAAAACAGTGGTGGCTGGAGTAGCACAGCAACAGATTCCGGACCTCTAGACCATTCATTGCATGAGGGAGAAGTAAATTCTATTTGATTTAAATCATTGTGTTTAGGGATCTGTTATGGGTTGAATTGTGTCTTCCTCTCCCCCAATTCATATATTGAAGTCCTAACCTCTAGCACCTCAGAATGTGACCTTATTTGGAAATAGGATTGTTGCAGATGTAATTAAACTGAGGCCACCAAGATGAACCCTGATCCAATATAACTGGTGTCCCCTTATAAAAAGAGGAAACTCAGTTTGGGAAGATGAAAAAGTTCTAGAGGTACATGATGCTGATGGTTGCACAATGTGCATGTACTTATCATTTATTTAAATTGGTTAAATAAATGGTTATTTAAAATGTTTATAAGTGCATATTTAAAATGGTAAATTTTATGCTGTGTATATTTTACCACAATTTTTTAAAAGGGGGAAATTAGGACACAAAGAAACACATAGAAGGAATATATGAAAAGGCAAAGATCTACAAGGTCTACAAACCAAGGAGAGAAGCCTGGGACAGATCCTTCCCTCGCAGCCCTCAAAAGGGCTTGATTTCAGTCTTCTAGCCTCCAGAACTATGAGACAATAAATTTTTGCTTTTTAAGCCAGCCAATCTGTGGTATTTGTTATGACAGCCCTAGCAAACTAATACAGGTCTCTGTTCAATAACTAGACTGTATCTTAATATAGGCCCTAAAAGACCAGTCTGAAAATTAAAATAATTGTGTTATGGCAATTCTAGCCCCATTTTCCTTGTCAAGTAGTCAACATCAGCAGATTGATGAGGAGCCCAAAATGGCATTTGTAACTGTTGTATTTTCTTAGTCCTTTACAGCTGATGATTATTCCTACCCTAGTTGCATATACTCCTAGGATCGTGATTAGAGCTATTGAGAACTTTCCAAGTGATGTCAATGCTCAGTATAAAACTGCCTCCCCAAAGCTTCTGGGGTGGGTGAGGGGGCTCAAAATGTGAAATTCCACTGCCAATTTTTACAGGTATTTAATTTATAAAATGATTGAATTTTTTATGACAGAATGAGTCATCTCATCTGTCATGCCATTGAGAGGGGCTGATTACCCAGGGGCCAGACACACGGGGTCACATTATGTCTGCCTTAAAGATGACTACAGCTATATATTTTGTATAGTTGTACAGAGTTAATGATAATCTTTTGAAAATACCCCAGGCTACAATAATAAAAGTCAATTAAAATGATCTCTACCTATTACCCTGTGGAATTTAATCGACTCTTGTGTGTTATTATCTTGGGATCAACAAAATGAATAATTCTAAATGATTGTCTTCCATGAAGAGACAACTGATTTAAAGCACTCATTTTTTAGATTCCATTCTCTGTGACATAAAGTATGATATTTTATTCTATATCAGTTCCACATGACCTATATTTAATGGCAGGAAGTAGAGACTTGTTAAAATAACTGGTATATTTCCTTCTCCTGAATTGTAATTAATGAAGCATGTGAGCTGTTGCTGAGCACCTATAGATATAATTACCAGGCTCCTTCCTTCCAGGCATTCAGAGAATCAAAGCACACCTTCAAAGTTCTAGTGACGACTAAAATGTGTTCAATATGAACAATAGTTTTAGGCACAGCTGTGACTCTACTCTGTTCTAGAAGCACAGATAAAATACCTTTCTGCAGAAAAGCATCTCAGCACCTTAATAAGGCTGTAATTCTCTTTCTGGCAGGGAAGTATTTGTGTGGACTAGGAAGGAACGTCACTGCTGCTTTGCACCCTGTGGCTCAGCCTTCCACGGAGACTAAGGCTTTTACCATCGACTCACAGAGCCATGAGCCCATCCCAGGCCTCACCGGACATCATCAGGGATCTTCCTGCCAGTTTTAACAGTACAACCATTTGCTAAAAAGTTGGAGTAATTGAGGTTAGTCACTTAGGATCATGCCTCTCAGCCCTGAAATTGTAGGTTTCCAAATAAAAGGTATGTCATTCCTCCTCCCCATTAATACACTACAATGCACTTCTCCCTCCAGGTCCTGCACTGACTCTTTATCTCTCCACCACTTCCTCTTCCCTTGTGCCTGCTAGGATCCTGCTTTTACTGTAAATACACTTCCTACATTCTCATCTCTTCAGAGACCACTCCCTTCTCATATTCTTGCCCTAAGAGAAATTGGACTCTCTCAAGGACAGATTCTTTGGTGGCTTTCTCTCGTGCCACTCCATCTATCATGGGACCAGAAGGGAAGGAGGTCAGCATTCCCCTGAACCCCCATTTCTCCTTCCACATCAATCTCCTTCCAGAAAAAGCTCATCCTGCCTTTGGCATCATGATATTCCTTGTTTCTTTCCTTACTATTTCTGGATAGTTTCTGATACTCCCATTCCAGGAGCACATTCTGTCTCTTTATCTCTAATCTTGCCATCAGCCAAGGAGATTCAAAACTGCTGTACTGGGGACACCTGAGTGGCATGCCTTGAGAATCTGCCTTTGACTCAGGGCCTGATCCTGGATTCCTGGGATCGAGTCCCACACTGGGCTTCCTGTATGAAGCCTGCTTCTCCTCCCTCTGCCTGTGTCTCTGCCTCTCCTTCTGTCTCTCTCATGAATAAATAAAATCTTTATTACAAAAACCCTGCTGTATTGATTCTCTGGTGATTTAGTCCATCCATTCTCAACTACATTAGTCTCAGTAATTTACACTCCACGTTAGCCAAATCTTCCATGACTACTTCCTGAATCTTGTCACCAGTCATAAATGTTCTATGCCAGGACTCTTTTTTTTTTTTTCTATGCCAGGACTCTTGATCTTAGCCTACACTTGGTCAAAGTTTTCTTCCATTTCCTTGTTGCCCTCAGTCATGCTAAATTTGCTTTCAATATAAAGATTGTTATACTCTTCTTGATTCTTCCATTTGACTCCATCATTCCTCCTGACTCCTCTCCTTTCCTATCCAGATTTGACACCAGAGGTGAATATTTTAACCAGTATCCCACTAAGAACCTCAACTTCCTTGCCATCCTGACCTTTCTGTGGTCCTAATCCAACAAAACCTCAACTCTGATGAGTACTACAATCTCCCTTCTTTTCAACAACCAATTTTATTGGTTCTTATCCCAGTTTTTCTCTTGGTAACACTCTTCAGCCCTTGTTTCTTCACCTTCAGGAGATATTTTTTTCTTCCTATTCCGTGGAGAAAATTTAGCCCTTAGTTGTGATTATGATCTCTTTCAAGTTGTTGACTATCCTCTTTATAATCTTAATGAGACTTTATAATCTTTATAATCTTTTTTTTCTCTTTATAATCTTAATGAGACTTGCATTTACTTCTTCAGTCTTACTGGATAAGGTATCCTTCCCTAGTGCTCAAATCCATTCCTCCACTGGTGCATTCTATTCTGTACCATCAACATCTCCTTCCCTAGTGGACCCATCCCTTAGCCTACAGATATACCAAAATTGCCCCCTATCCCCTAAAATCCCAAATTTCAAGCAGTCATTGATGCTACATCTCCTTGTAGTCACTCTTCATTCTCTGCCTCTCTCCTTATTTTAATTTCTAAGAGCAGTAGTTTGCTCTGCTTCTCCATGTTCTCACCTCCTATCCACTTTTGTCTATGTTTTCTGCTCCTGATAATCTAATTCCTCATTCCTACCAGGAGAGTTACCAACACAATTTCCACTGACAAATCCGAAGGAAACTGGTCAGTCCTCTTCTTGCTGGACATTACTGCACCACTTGGCACTACTGATGTTCTCCCTCTTAAAAGTCATTTCTTCTTTGACTATCTTGCATTTGCTCCATTCTTACTACTTAACTATTCCTTAAGAAGAACACAAAAACCCAAACCAAATACCTCAAGATATTCAAATCTATTTGAATTTATTTACTCAATCACCCAGGTTAGATTTGGGGCTGTCACTGACTTCTTCCTCTTTCACCTACATCTAAGCAAGTGCAGGGTTGAGGTGGTTTTGACTATCAACTACTTTTTAAAGTTTTGTTTTTTTAAGATTTTATTTGTTTACTTGAGAGCCAGCAAGAGAGCATAAGCAGGGTGGGGGACAGAAGAAGAGGGAGAAGCAGGCTCCCCACTAAGCGGGGAGCCTGAGGTGGGGCTTGATCCCAGGGATCATGTCCTGAGCTGAAGGAAGATACTTAACTACCTGAGTCACCCAGATGCCCCTTAGTTTTTTTTTTTTTTTTTTTTAATGTTCTCCTGATCCCACTATTCTGGTCCTGACTCAAGGCCTCACAAATTCTTACATGGACTATTATTGTAGTCTCCCATTGCCACTCCACCCCAGTTACACCTGGCTCCCTTGCTTACATCCTCCAAGTATGTGGCACCACACACTAGATAATCTGAATTCCTAGCCCTGTGTATCAGATTTCCACAACCTGGTCTTCCCTCAACCTCCTCAGCATCTTTTATTTTTACTCCCCATGTTTGTACACTAATAACACTGAACCACTTCAGTTCCAGAACATATATTATATGGCTTCTTCCCTTTGCTTGCACTGTGCTCTCTGCCTGCAAGTCCTGAGGATCATCCTCTACTTAGTGGTCATTGCTTCTGCAGAGAGCTTTATCTACCCCTGCATTCCTATTCACTTTCTAGGCATTGCTAGGCTGCTCTCCTCTCCTCACACAGAGAAGACCTTCTGGGTATACACTGATCACCTAGTGGTAATGGTATAACGATATGCCAATGTGGTTCCTTTCTCCTCCCCCATTACACTAATAAGCTAATCAAAGAAGCATATTACTGCATGCAGTACATTCATGTCTGTTTTTGCAGTTTGAAAAATAGTACCTGAAATGCTATTGTAGGCACTCAACAAATAACCTGAATACAGTTCTCATTCAATTCAGTTTAGCACAAATTAATTAAGCAAGTGAAAAAGAATGCTTACTTGTACTGGATGTTGGCTTCCTGTAAGAATGCTAACAGGGCTTGGGAACCATTTTGGAGAATATGGACATCAGTAACTGCTCCTTTTGATACATAGGAGATACTGCTGGGCTGCCACAGGTCCACCTGTAGTGCAGGAACCAACCTATAATTCATATTCAGTGCAGGTGGGGAAAGATCCAGGTCACAATGTGAAACATGTCACCTTGTTTATATTAAAAAACACCAAACACATTTTGGATCCAGATTCAATGCTTTCATCATCAGAGTAAAACTCTTATTTGATTTTTGAATTAGGTCTCCAGGGATCCCTGAGTAGCGCAGCGGTTTGGCGCCTGCCTTTGGCCCGGGGCGCGATCCTGGAGACCCAGGATCGAGTCCCACATCGGGCTCCCGGTGCATGGAGCCTGCTTCTCCCTCTGCCTATGTCTCTGCCTCTCTCTCTGTGACTATCATAAATAAATAAAAATTAAAAAGAATTTAAAAAAAAGAAAAAAAAAGAATTAGGTCTTCAAATTAGATCGTATCCATAATAGAATTTGATCATAATTTACAAGTAACAGTTTAAAGACCAATATACATTAAAGCCACAAGGTAAAAACTAAATAAAAATAGTTTTGTGTGACTTTGATATTCTTAAATATTATTACACAAATACTTGAATAAGAGAAAGAAGGACATAAATTACCTTTTACTTTACTACACAACTGACCTGTGGTAGCTTGGCAACATTTAAATGGAACTTTAAATGGAATACTCTCCAGGTACTTCCTCATTTCCCCCGATACAAGCACGCCTTTTATCAATTCCTACCCAGCCTTCACATGGCAATAGAAACATCCCTTTCTCAGGTCAGACTTTTCCACTAGGGCAGTCTCCTTGTCAGAGTTCTTAGAGCAACTCATGCTTTTTTCATTATGTAATTACATCTTATCAGAATGTAAACTCCATTTAGTTACCACCTAATTCCAAGTGCCCAGAATGGTGCCTTGTGCACATCAGCAGCTCACTGTTGTATGCGTGTAGGCCCCATGTAATATTCACTCTATATTCACACCACGTTCAGTGTTTTGCAGGAAAGCAGGAGCCATGTCTGTTGGGCTTACTGTGGTATTCCCAGGGCCTTGTCTAGTGCTCCGTGTTCATCACTGAACTTAGCTAGAAGGCAAGAGAGCCTTAACTTCTGCACAAGCCTAGAGCTACAATTTTTGATTAGGCATAGTTTGCCTTTACAGACATCTCTGTCTTCTCTGTGTTTGGGACTCTTTTCTTCCTGCATTTCCAGCCTTAGTCTGTTACAGGGCCTTGGTTTCTGATCTGAAAAGATTTAGTTACTTTATCTTCACTTAGATGTCACTGTCTGCATTCTGTTGGGAACTATAGAAGACCAAAAATACTTTGTGACTCAAGGAACTATACCTCTAGTGGTATAATTTAATCTTGAACAGGGTAGAGAGGCATTTGCTTTGGGGACAAAGAGTCTGCCTGTATTTTTTAAAGCACTCCACTAAGTTGCAAGGGCAAATCTGACTCAGCTAACATGCTAGTCCAACAATCATAGAAAAACAGAAGTGTGGGGCTGGAAGGGATGCTGAGAGGTCATTTGATCCATCTGTCAGCCCTTGGGCAAGGATACATCTAGGACTGAACAAACCTGTCCCCAGTAGTTGTATCCAAACCACATCTTTTAAGTCTCCAAAACAGGAGAGTTCACAACATCCTAATGTAACTCATATTCACATTTAAGAAGATTGCAGACATTTTTCTTGATCCCTTACGCTGCAGCACAGCTTCATTTTTTCTTATTCCATTTTCCAGTAAGGAATGGCTGGTTTCTTGCCTTTGTTAGTAAAGTACTTTGGTATCTTTCACTTTTCTCTATACGTTAGATTTTCTGATCCTTTAATCATCTTTGAAACCTGCCTTTAAACCCATTATAGAGACAGTTTTTTGATATTAAGGTTTGCTGCCATCCCTTAATGCCAGTAAAGATGAGGAAATAGTGCTGCATTTGGAAGGTAGAGAACCGTAAGAACTGAAAATAATATGAAGAGCCACTCTGGAAAGTAGTTGATGTGTCATTTTCTAGAGTGTATGCTAAAAACGAATCCTCATCCTCTAGAAGGTAGTAGCTTCCCTGCAGGGAGGTTCCAAGTGACATATCCCACAGCCTGACTGACCTGCAGAGGGCTTCTTAGGAAGCCTTTCTGACCTGCTTTGTCAGAAAGCAATTGGTCTAAAGGAAATTAACAAAAATAGTTTGCAAAATCAGGAATTGTATTCTGGTTTGATATTAGGAAAGTTAGTTAAAATGTACTATCAGCTTTTCTCCAGTAAAATTTTGGGGACAAGTGCTTGGATACATGACATGGGCGTTTCAGTTTGGGGGGCAGGTACACGCCTATATCAAGATATAGGGGACAGTAATACTCATGTGAGATTTGTAAAGTGTCCTACTTTATAGGTATTTCTGATCTTTTCAATAATGCCTTGAGGTAGGAGTTATTGATAGATACATTTAAAGAATGAGAAGACTCAGATTTATAGAGGCAAAGGCAATTTTCCACAGATGAACTGCTCCAAAATGGTGACACAGCATGTGCCTAACTCCAATTCCCATATTTACTCACTGAGTAAGTGTCTTTTGGATCTTTTGAGAAAACAAGCAGCTTCCAACTTCCTGACTTAGTGTTTGACAAGGTCTAGTTGGCAGGTCTCATACTCTGGTCTTTCCTATCAGGGGTTATTTGCCTTATAAATTAATATGCAGGTATTTCAAAGCTTAAATCAGCCCACTCTGGGCAGGTTGCCATCATTTCCTTAGGGCCTGATCACATCTGGATAAAATGATAAACTGTCTTTGAAAGGCAAAGCTGGGTAACACTTTATAAAGATAACAAAGGATCAGTAACCTTGTCAGGATGGTCTCAGATTGTATGCCAACTATTGCAAGTCTTTGCTGTAAACAGCCATCTGATATTCCAGGGAAAGGATGTTCCTTTGCGAAAAGTTCTGGCCTTGGAATCTAGTGGTTGTTTCCATGTTCTCTTTTCCTCATATGATTACTAGTCACACAGAGCCAGATCTACTTAGGAGGTAGAGGTAATGAGGGGTCCCTAGATGGCTCAGTTGGTTAAGTTTCTGACTCTTGATTTTGGCTTATGTCTTGATCTCAGGGTTGTGAGTTCAAGACCCACATTGGGCTCCATGGTGGCAGTGAAGCCTACTTAAAAAAGAAGAAGAGTGGAAGAGTGGAAGTAATTTAGTATATGATCAAGAGTATGGACTTTTGAATCTGAAGGCCCTGAGCTGGGATGCTAGCTCTGGTAATACTGGCTGTGTGACTTTGGGGGAGATTTTAACATTTCTGAGCTTCAAATTCCTCATTTGTACTTTTAAGATAGTTAAAAAACCTATCCACATACTTTTCGGTAGGATAAGTTGGAAAAATAGAAGTAAAACACATAGCAGAAAGTCTGGCACATAGTGGAATCTCAAAAAATATTATTTATTGTTTCTTTCTTTTTGAAAAGCATATAAAAAGAAAATCTGGAAGCAGTAAAGATAAAGTTCTACTTTGAGTGTTTCTGAGTAAAATGACGACTATAATGAGATTATTCCCTTATTGAGACATTAAAACCTACAGATGGCTTTAAGGAGGAGAAGAACCAATAAATAAACCAAAAATATGAACAAGGCTGGAATGTTTCCTAATGCAAAGGCAAACAACTGGATTTGAAGCCACTGTAGCCTACTGGTTAATTCCCTGGACTCTAGAGTCTGACTTCCCATGATTAAATTCAGGCTCTCCACAGTTAGCATCTGTGTGATATAGGGCAAGTTCCTTAATCTCTTTGGGACTTTCTTCAAGTGTAAAATGAAGATGATAGTTACACTTCCTGGTTGTTATTGTTATGGGATTATAGAGACTATAGAAAATGCAGCCATTAAGAGCATAAATTTTGTAACTCAAGACAGGATGAGTTTGAATCCCAGTCATGCTGCTTAATAGCTGCATGACTCTGGGCAACTTACTTTAGTTCTCTATGCTTGTTTCCTCACTTATAAAATGGAGTTATAAATACATTTTATAGATTTGTTAGATTTAAAATAATATCTATAAAATACTTTAAACAGCACCTGGTGTGGGGCACCGGGTTGGCTCAGTGGTTGAGTGTCTGCGTTTGGCTCAGGTTGTGATCCTGGGGCCCTGGGATCAAGTTGCGCATCGGGCTCACCACAGGGAGCCTGCTTCTCCCTCTGCCTATGTTTCTCTCTCTCTGTCTCTCTCATGAATAAATAAATAAAATCTTAAAAAGAAAAAACTACCTGGTGAACAGAGGTCATTCATTAAATGATAAATAATTCAAAATTCAAAAATAATGTCTTTGCAATTAAAAATATTTTTTAGTCTGGCATGAATTTTATGGCTCTTCTGGCCCTTGTGCTGTTTATTTATTGGCCTAATCTAGCCTTCATGAAGCATCTACCTGTCGTTTAGGTCCATGGCTGATTACATATCAGCCATCTGAACCATGGCTGGTTCAGATATCAGTGAAGGTGTAGTCAGTGTCCCCTAGCAGTTTCAGAGAAGTCCTACATGTGTATATTGGGAAGATCTGGTGTTTCTTCAGCTTGGGAACAGATGGCCTGCTTCCCAGCTGCTTGAGGTAACACAGAAGCATGAGAGAGGAGAGTCTTACTCTATATTTACTCTTACATTTGGTTTGGAAAAGTGTTAAGCACTTACATGTCACATAACAGAGATCTTACTGCACAGAAAAGCACCCCCTCTTATTTACCCTAACAATTGTCTTTTTGGTCTGAATTCATTTAACCTTTTTGAATCTTAAGATCTTTGTCAGGATGCCTGGGTGGCTCAGCGGTTGGGCGTCTGCCACCTAAATTTTGTCTACTCATCTCATTCTCAACTCTCAAGTTTTTATTTTTTAAAAAGATTTTATTTATTTGGGGGGGGGGGATGGAGAGAGAGAGAGATAGAGAGAGAGCACGAATAGGGAAAGGAACAGAAGGAGAGGGAGAAGAAGACTCCTTGCTGAGTAGGGAGCCCAATGTGGACTCGACCCCAGGACTGGAATCATGACTTGAGCTGAAGACAGACTCTT